AAAGGGAGGGAGAGGGGGAGAGGGGCAGAGGAAGAGAGGGAGAGGGGCAGAGGGAGAGTGACGGTCCGTAGAGGGCGTGCTGGTGGTACAGGTAGGCGATGAAACCGATGATTTGAATCATCTTGCCGAGGCCCATCTCGTCGGCCAGTATCACACTGTTTGATCTGCGGGCGGAGGAGGGAGAGAGGGGGAGAGGGGGAGAGGGGGAGTGACGGTCCGTAGAGGGCGTGCTGGTGGTACAGGTAGGCGATGAAACCGATGATTTGAATCGTCTTGCCGAGGCCCATCTCGTCGGCCAGTATCACACTGTTTGATCTGCGGGCGGAGGAGGGGGAGAGGGGGAGGAGTAAAAAGTTTGTATATCAATATCAATATTAAATCAACATCACATTAAATATCAATCAATATCAATCATTATCACAGTTTGATCTGCAGAGATAGGAGGAGAGGGAGAGACGGGAAGAGGGGGAGAGGGGCAGGAGTAAAAGGTTTGTTTATCATTATCAATGTCAATATTAAATCAATATCGTATTGTTTCATCTGCAGAGAGAGGGAGAGAGGGGGAGGAGGGAGAGAGGAATAACACGTTTGTATATCATTCGGGACGTCTTAGACGCGGTGGTATCATACAATGCTTCCCATCCTACCACACTTTCTCCCTGCCTCCCTCCTCCACCGGTACATACCTCTCATTGTTACATGCGGTGGTAGGTAGCACCGCTTTCCCTCCCTCCCTCACTCTCTCACCTCCCTGCCCTCCCTTCCTGCCTCCCTCACTCTCTCACCTCCCTCCCTCCCTGCCTCACTCTCTCACTCCCTGCCTCCCTCCTTCTCTGCCCTCCCTCACTCCCTGCCTCCCTCACTCCCTGCCCTCCCTCACTCTCTCCCCCCTGCCTCCCCCGGTGATACGTACTTGCACCAGGCATGAGCAAGCCAGTTGACCCCGTCCAGCTGGTAATCCCGCAGCTCTAGATTGTTGGAGAAGCCCAGGTAGCTAGGCTGGCCCTTCAACGGCACAAACTTGGGACGATTCGTTAGCACCTGTGTAGAAATGCAGAAGAACGATTATTTTGCCAATCAATCAATCAATCAATCAAGCAATCAATCAATCAATCAATCAATCAATCAGTCCATCACAATACGGAGGTGAATTTCACATGCTCCGTCTCTCTTCCAATCCCTAACTCTCTCTCCCTCTTGCCCTCCCCATCTCTCCTTCCTTCTCCCTAACTCTCTCTCTCTCTCTGTCTCCCTAACTCTCTCTCTCTCTGTCTCCCTAACTCTCTCCCTTTCTCCCTGCCCCTCTCTCCCTTTCTCCTCTCCCTCTCCCCTCTCTCCCCCTCCCCTAACTCTCCCTCCCTCCCTCGCTCTCCCCCTCCCTCTCCCTCCCCTCACACCCTCTCCCTCACCTTTGCAGTCTTCGTGGGTATGCGCTGGCTGCGATTGCGATTCAGGTATTCATCCACCTTGGCCTGCACCCACGACGACACCAGCTTTCCGTCTTCCCACGTGCACTCAGCGTACGGCAGGCCCTTCCACTTACAGTAGTAGTCCGGCGGGCTGCCCGGCGAAGTGTTAGAGTGAGCTGCAGCGAGGGGAGAGAGACAGAACAGATGTAGACACGTGTATGTGTACGTGCGTGCGCGTGTAAGCACCGCAGGTATGCTCACAGAGACGCACGCACGCACCACATGCACGCACAGACATGCACACATGCTCACGCATATATTTATATATATTTATTGATTTATATATATATATTGAATGAAGTAACTTAATTAAAGGTAATCATTAACATTATGCAATAAAATCACGACTAGATAGAAGCTTCCTAACAAACACAAAGACCACGTTCTCGACCTCCAAACATCAATTTACTAATTACAATCATCTTCAAATACAATTCGACATTGCGAAATTTCAACGACCTTGGGGGGATTTAGTTAGTAAAAAAGTAAGTTAGCCGAGGTCGTCGTGAGAGCGTGGTCAGCGGTCAGACGTGCGTTGCCGTGGCGACCGACTCACCTATGATTCGCTCGACGATCAGGTGACTCTCAAGCAGCTGTTCCATCATCTCGTTCTGGCAGTCAAAGTATTCGATGTCCTCGGGGGAGGCCGCCGCCTTCCTGTCACGCACACACAAACACAAACACATAAACATAAACATAAACATAAACAATGCAATGTAAACATGATGGGACCTGTGTGCTCGGGGGGAGGCCGCCGCCTTCCTGTCACACACACACAAACACAACACATACACATAAACACATGTAAGCAAACATATGAACATGAGCACACGTATGATGCAACGTAAATGTTAGGTGACACAACACATGTCCTCGGTGAGACGCCACAATGTTACATATTGCACATGAATAATATCATATATATATATATATATATATATAGAGAGCGTAATATAATCTGATCTAACACACGAAGAATAACTTCACACAAAGAACTCCTTTCCACATCCTCACGGGAAGCCCCAAATGCACACGAAATTCTAGCGTGACAGGTGGCGCCGCCACGCCGACAGCGCGTCCACGCACCAGTTGTCGATCTCTGTCCGCTTCTTCTGCCAGTTCTCGAGCTTCTTGATGCCCTTGACGCGCTGCGATCGCAAGGTCGCCTCGCTCTCGTACGTGTTGTGTATGTGCGACCAGCCCTTCCACTTGATCAGATACTGCTGCTCCCCTGCGACAAACGCAAAGCATTGATCCCCCGATCATTACTATTGATTATTGATTATCATCATTGTCATCGTCATCATCATTGGGAAATTATTTTGGGTATTACCGTAACTTATGGCACATGCATCGCACTACTGTAAAAAAATTGATTTTCCGAAGACCCATGCTGCCTTCGACATTTCCGATAACGGATCGTGGACCTGTATTATCTTCATTATAAATATTTACCTCCGCGCTAAGGAGGTTATGTTTTCGCCCCTGTTAATTTGTTGGTTTGTTTGTCTGTCAACAGGATATCTCAAAAAGTTACGGACAGATTTTGATGCAATTTTTGAGATGGGTTGGACTTGGGCCAAGAACCAATCGATTCGATTTAGTGGTGATCCGGATCCAGGATTTTTTGGGGGGGAAGACTTCGGACGCATTCAAAATTCATCAAAAAAATAAATAAAAAATAAAAATCCTGGATCTTTTTCTCTCTAAATTTCTGAAAATTTGATCAAACTATATTGGGTGTATGTACCACTACCAGCAATAGATAGGAGGACTGTTAGTGTTACGCTGTGGCGGAGGTTTGCTATCTCCGATTGCTCTTGTATATATTATTATTATCATTATACAAGCCAGTGGAAAAAATACACGGGGGCTCTGGGCGATTTAGCCCCCGAAATGCCAAAAAGAGCCCCCGTAAATTTGCATAGAGTGCAAACCAAATTTTAGAGTGCTATTTTCACGCACGCGAGCTTGAAAAGTAGCCCCCGAAAAATTAATTTTTAATTTTTTCCCTGATACATGCAGACATGGACCGTCACGTCCGCTCTCACCTTGGTCGGTCGCGGGATCGAATCCATCGTTCAGATCACCGTTAGCTTCCACCGCGTAGAGCGTCGTCGGGGCTCCGGTCACTAGATAAACAACAACAACAACAATAAACAATAGATAAACAACTATGACAAACAGTAAACGTGTAGAGCGTCGTCGGGGCTCCGGTCACTCGATAAACAACAACAACAAACAATAAACAACAAACCACAAACAACTACAATAGATGAACAACTATGACAAACAATAAACAACAAACCACAAACAACTACAATAGATGAACAACTATG